CACACGCACACGCACACACACACACACACACACACACACACACACACACACACACACACACACAAAGAGAGTCGGAGGGAGAGACAGAGAGAGAGAGAAAGAGAGACAGAGAGAGAGAGAGAGACGGGGTGGGGGAGAGAATCTAGGGAGTAAACGTTACAACAGTACTAACGCGTGCATTTTCTAAATCGCCAAAGCTAGTTTCCCTCGTCTCGTTCGCAGAAATGTCATTAGAATTCACAAATTGCGGCGGCGTTTTACGGCGAAAACCGCGTCGATTGATGTACCGCCGCAGTCGGCGGTACAGAGCACAGTCGGAGTGTATTAAAACCACAACAAAGAAACTTTACCGCTCCGAATTTCTTGAGTTTTTTTCGGCTAATCGCGTAAAAGCGGTCTGTTCTTTCAATCATCATAATGACGTCACGCCATCTCGCCATGATGTCACGAAAAGGGCCATCACATGTAGCTGCAGACGTTAATTTGCATCTATCTCACAGGTACATGCCTTCAAACTGTGGCGTTTTTTTCTCATAGCTAAGCGCCCGGCGTTATTAACTAGATGCAGCGACTGTGGTTTCGCACACGCTCATTGACAATAGTTGCAAGAGTAGGCCTATACCTATTGAGTCGCCGTTTTTCCCTATGGTGTGAATCAAACACAGTCATGTACTCTAACAGTGGAAAAATACCGAGCACGTATTCTATCCTTTCAAGATTTGCTTCCATTAACCCTACTCAGCAGTTTAGGAATTGGTTAGTATAATCAGGAATACGTGTCTACTCGTGATGTATTTTTATTATAATGGTCAGGTGTAGGCTACTTGTACAAGCTGGATACTTTCTTCGCGTGCGCAAAAACTATAGAAAAATCTTTACGGGTTTATATTCCACAGGTTTGTCGGGATATGACTTAGCGGATACGTAGTTGCACAGCGCTTGCTGCGTGTAAACTGCACATAAACGGGCGCTATACCGGTACTCTAATTAACACGGGGCATGCAAGCACTGTTTACGACTTACAGATTTTATAATGTGAGTCCCGTGGTGTCTATAAACACAGAAGCGGATTTACTCGAAGTCTGTAAATGCATTGTCTTGGTAGTCCGCACGATATTTCGTCACCGCCCGCACCTTAATTATATTTTGTCATCAGGTTGCCACACCCATTAGTCTACAATGCGGGACTTTGAAACTGACTAGTACGACGACGCCTTTAAATTAGTGACTACGTGTAGCAGGCACGATACGAGGATTCACAGCGAATGAGCTTACCGTAATGGCAGACAGGGTAGTCAATTATTTCCCATGGCCGCAATGTCCCGGCACCCCACTAAGTATACATTACGCGACGAAGTACGCAATGGGGAATGATGAGATTGTTCGGCATTACGCGTGCGAAGGGAAAGCAAGCCGTTAAGCCCACGTAACATCTAAACCTAATGCAATACC